TATATATATATACTGGTATTCCATAATCAGTACATCTATCTAGTCTTCTATATAATTATCATCATTCTGCTCTGTAATTTACCGGCAATCCGCTAGTCAAACAATGAATTTATTGACCTATTTGTATATTGAAAAAAAAAATAGATTACAATCTTAATTTTTTTTTCTGTGTTGATACAGATGCACGCAATGCTTTATAAGTATATTAAATCTGTTACAAAGGGCTGAATGATGTTACATAGCAGTACAGTACGAGCGGTGAAAATCAAACAGACAAAGTACAGCCAATAGTTCAAGCGAACCCGTCCGTGTTACCCATTCACAATGTCGACGAGCTGGAATCAGTGAGTTACTTATGTAGCGTCTATAAAGGAAGTAGACGACTTAAATTATATCACACAAAATTATGCAATGCTTAAATTGCTTTATTCACGATGCTGTAAAACTTGATGTTATGGTCTTGTTTTTTTACCATTTTCCAATATACTAACTGTAGTCTGGTTGGCGACAAGTTGTATCTGTATGTTATTTAACGCCACCTACGCACTGTTGACTATGGAGACACTGTGTTGTTCGATTCTCTATAGCATTTGTTCTATATTCATATGAAACAGACGATTTTGTTTGTTAATGGATGCGTTGTTGACGATAACTAGAGGACGAAAAACAAGTCTAGCCAGGGTGTGCTATCACTCGTTTCGTGCTAATATTATATAATTCTGTAATACTAACATTTAAGAGCATTCAAGGGCAGCATCGAAACTTTTCTCAGTAAAATCAATAAACAAAATATTATAAACTACTTACTAAAATATGCTTTAATTTTATTACATCGTTAGGTCTACCATCGTGATCATGATCCTCATAATTTGGCCTATCATATAATCATGATCACGAATATCATCGCCATTTCTTTACGCATTCTCCTAGTGGTTCAGTAGGTTTAATTATTAGCCTTCCAATCAAGCGGGTTTTTTTTTCTTTGACGTTTAAGCCTACCAAGTACCCCTATGTTCATGAGCCTACAATGGGCGAAGTGCCTTTCCCAAGGACGAAAGCAAACTTTACAGAGAAGATTCGAACCACAAGGGTTTTGCCAACCAGTCGATCAGAGTTAGAACGATGATCCATGGTGGATCGAACAGAATTCATTATTGTTGCGGAAAACTCATTCATAACTGAAACTCACTGTAGATAGATACGTACTATTGTAGTATAGTAGGCCCTTCGATGCCGGCTCTTACGTATGAGGTGAGTTTTTAGGCACAATATAACACAGCAAAAAATAACATGATGCTTGGCATATTGCCAAAGAGTACGTTACATACAGGTATAAGTTTTTTTCTTTTATTTTATTTATTTATTTATTTTTTAATAAAAGGAAAGTTCAAACAAGATCGGCCTCACTTTGAAACCAGATGAATTTATTCAATACAATGAACAAAAACGGTTCTGATTGTATGACCAATTAGACTTGGCGGGAACGACAGTGAGGTTTTATGATAGACTGAACTCGTATTCAAACTCACAAAGAAGCCCAATATCAGTGGTCAAATTGGCTATTATCGTTAGTGCCTAAACTTAATCTACCAATTCCTTTCCGTATTAACTAAGTGTGAACTGGAGAATTGCACCTTATAAATGATAGAATAGACTGGTCCACTACTTGAGTTTAGATTTGCGATAAACTATTGAGTACTCCATACAGCAAACGCTCTCAAATAAATTGACACGAAAATATCAATTATTTCGAAATTATCTGGATGGGGTCGATTACACATACGCACCTTTCTTCACTTGGAATGGGACCTTGGATATGGGCTTGACCTTACTGGTGCCAGGATTCACCGCACACATAATACAGACTTGGTTCCATCATTAGTTCCGCTTATGTAGGCTTAGTGGATAGAATAGCACGCGAGTACACCATTCAAAAGATGTACAAAAAGATAACAATCCAGTTTTAGTGGTGAAGACAAATTGACGCAGTACTGTTTTGTGTACCTGATGTTAGGTTTTGTTTCACGTACTGTACACCGTGGGACACAGCATCTTACCACTACCTATGATATAATAGGCCTACAAGCCAAGCAGATACTACTGTAATGGTTAATATTCATTGATCATCACGTCAGATCGCACGCATTTGTTTGTATGCGTTCAGGGGCTGCAATACACGTCAAGTGACCAACTGCTTTTACGTTCCAGAAAAAGATTTTAGAGAACTCGAAACTAGAACAAGATGATGAATGAATGTTGGTAATCATAATGCTGATGCGGCGGATGTTTTTACTACTACTGCTGTTGCTGGTGATATGATGAGGACTATATATTACAAATTTGTTGTTGATGATGGTGCTTATGATGATGATGATGATGATGGTATGATGACGATAATGCTGATTACTGATGTGTTGCTGTTGTGATTAGAATAATAATGGAGGTGGGGATGATTATAGTTATGATAACAAAATAATTATAATAACAATCTTTCTAAATTCTTATAACCTTCATATTTTTTGCGTAATACTGTAAGGTTTTTTTGTTTTTTTTAAATTTTCTTAATAGTTTTCAACTGACTATACGATTAGTAAAACGCTTAATCTAAGTCATGAAAAGGTTTGGAATGAATAATGGAGGTGGGGATGATTATAGTTATGATAACAAAATAATTATAATAACAATCTTTCTAAATTCTTATAACCTTAATATTTTTCGCGTATTAAATACTGTAAGGGTTTTTTTTATATTTTTTTAAATAGTTTTCAACTGACTATACGGTTAGTAAAACGCTTAAACGTTTGGATTGAATGATTGTGATTATAGTTATTAAGCAAAGCGGTTGAAAGGCTCTAAAAAGTAAGTTTTTCCAAGTACAGGTACTGTAAAGCCAAAATTTTCGCGTTTAAAAAATTAGTTATCCCAATGTTGAAACTTATAAAGCTGATAAATTTAAACAAAATTGTTGATGACGATAAAATGAGGATAATTGTGAATGAGATGATGAAGATCATAATGATAAAGATGAAGAAGAAGATGATGATGTGGGTGGTGATTGTGAAGATGATGAATTTGGTATTGATGATGACGACGACGAAGATGGTGATGATGATTATATTATTGAGGCTGATTATGATGATAATAATGATGATTATGATGATGATGATGATATGATGATAATGAAAATGTTACAATAATAAAAAATTATTATACGTCGAAAGGGATGATAATGATAATAATCACTGATGAAAAAACAAATGAAGATGCTAAACACTTAATCAGAATAGTTGCACACTAAAGTTGTTATTACTTTTTTTCAAACTAATCTAATAAGCTCACATTTGCCATATTAGGCAATAATAATATGCAGACATACTGTACTAATAAAATATTAATGAAAATATTATTAAACATTAAACGTACCTAATGTGTTTACGACCGGGACTTTCAGTAAGTTTGCAAGTAAACAGTAAATCAGGCTGTAAATAATCGTCATATCCATTCTATAGAGCAGAATCGACCACACACTGACTACGCGACTTTTAGTTACTGAACTTCGTAGTAAATGTATGAGTACTGTACTGACCCAAATCTTTTATGTATTGGATTTGGATAGTAAATGGATTGATTGTGTGACAGAATTGTACTGTAACAATGAGACAAATAATATTCGATTTGTAAGTTTTAGTGTAAATTTTACGTACGTAAATTTCCAGGGTAGTAAATTGACTTAAAAAATACACAGTAAAAGTGTTAAATATATAAATTATTTTTTAAACATTAAAACTTAAGTCTTAAATAATGAAGTTGTCTGCACATTGCATGGTTGGCTGCCAAACTTCCATGAATTGCCTGGCATAAAATGTTAAAGTAATCAGTAAGAGGAAGTATTTAAATACAGCGGATTTGGATTGTAGCAAAACAGGACTATGTCAAGTTATCAATACGTAGCTACCAAATAACAACTCTTTTTATGAAATGGCCGCCAAATCAAATTAATCGCCTTAAAAAAATAATTAGGCCTATTGCCTATTTAAGGAACTGTTAATGATATAATATTTGAATAAAAGCTTATGGTTATATATAATTTTTTTTTTAATAGAATCCAGTACACCAGATTTGTGTTTGAGTTAAACTACATGAAATTACTAGTGTAACTTTCGTCTTAGTTATAATGTTTAAATTTCTGCGTCGACTATAATACCAACAAGGTACTCTAATTCCTCTGTCAATTCCACTGAATTTTACACCTAATATTTTTTTTTCATTATAAATTTCATGCATGAAATAATTTTAGTTCTCGACGCACTGCGAACAACAGGGTCGTAATACGCGTCTTAAGCATTATAAACGACAAGCCGAGATCTTTGAAAAAATACATAATAGAAGAAAGAGAAAATCATAAACCCTCTTGTGATTTTGGTTATATTGGCCAATATTTCCATTCTTCACTGCAACATTTGCTTCTCATAATGCTCTCACGAACGTTTGCTTCAAAAGGATCGTCTTAAGCATTTTAGTAACGACGTGTTTTTATCAACCAATATTAGCACCAATATTCACCGAAAAGTTTACACCGTTTTCTAGTTGTCCTGTTATCGCCTGGACTGTTTTGGGCTTACACGCTTGTTGTGACATTGATGGGGTAGCTGACGATGATGGTGATCGTTCAAGTTGGGAGGAAGATGTTGTTGACAAAGTTGATGATTTAATGAGAGTCCTTTTCTGTGCAGCGTCAGAGATAGTAGTTGTTTGAATTATATGTTCATCATATTTATCATACGCAGTCGATGATTGCATTTTGCCAGAGGTTAGTTCTGATTCCAAATCCTCTGTGTCAGGACGTCTGTCATTATTAAACCTAAAAATGCATACAAAGATTGATAATCAATGGACGGCAGGTGGCTGATTATAGATGTTTATAAAAGAAGGCTACATTAATTTCTAAAGCTATCATGATACGCCACCAACTCCAAATTGCATCGATATATGCTTTTGGGCAGACGAAATTAACGTTAACCTAACCTGTATTACCCAACATGATGATAGCTCCACCTATTACGTTTAAGAAGAGAAAGATACTACTACTAGGCCCTATCGGATGGAGATTTGGCAATAAGGTTTAATTTAATGTTCAGTGTGTTCTCCGAAAAATATCTAATAATTTTTCCTAATGGAATCGCAAGATAATAACCCTGTTAAGCTTACCTTCGTTTCTTGATAATAGATATTGCAATCAAAATCACCAAAATGGAGATCAATACACTAAGACCAATCAGAATGAAATTTTCCTTATCTATCAAAACAAAATTAAACACAAGTCTATTATTACGAATAATGCAACTCTAAAAAGATTAATATGTATGTGCACAATTTTATGAAAATTCAATATATGCATACCAATATAATTTGTATTTGCTTGTGAAGAATCTGAAGATCCATCCGTTATTACTGAATTCGTGTCTTTAGACGGCGTTCTACTATCTGCTGATAACTCGGTTGAGGTTTTACCGAATGAAGCTTCCTGGGCACCTTCTCCATTTTCTGTGGCATACTCACCTTGAGTCGATGTTGACGCAATAATATTGCTGTCTGTAGTCTTTGAGACTACCTGCCTATCTTCAGTAGACACAGCTTTAGTAAGAGATTCAATGCTCGTAACATTGTAACCGCGTTTCATAGTTTTAGTGCTTTGCGTGCCACCATTTGATGCTTCTGAGCCGTCTCCTTTAGTTGTTGTAGGCCTACCTTCATCGGTTGTTGAGGGTTCATTTTTTGCTGATGTGGTTATATCATCTCTTAGTGTATAATACCTTACTTCTATTGTTGGTCCTGAATTTACATCACTTGTAGTCATAGTCACATCATCATCTTCCTTTACGTCATCATCATCTATTATGCCACTAGTTGTTGTTTTTAAAGACTGAGTTGTGCTTTCTTTAATTTCTATAAACTTAGGCGTAGCCGTACTTTCTGTGTTGTTAGTTATTGCTGGTGATGTCAGAGTACTGTATTTTTCTGACGTAGTTGTGGAATTTATGCTTTTTGTTGACTTAATGTCAACGTAGACTAACTCTTCGTCTATTCTGCCATTTTCGGTTGGATCTACTCCGACATCTGTACCATTATTTAACTCTTCCTTCTCTTCTCCATTGTATTCTTCTGTACCATTATACGAAACATTAGTCTCATTTTTACCAGTATCATCTGAAAAACATAATTTAAATTATCCTCACGTTTTACATTTTTAAATACATAAATTGACAAAAAAATAATAATTCAAGTCAAATCAGATGTATAACAAATACAAGAAGAAAGTGGGTAAACAATGGCACAACCAATTAAATCAACATTCCGTGTCTTATAAAACCAGTTCAGGAAGGGTCGATCCCCTCCTTGGACACGCTTATCACCAGAAAGGCAGATAGCACATTGAAATTGACCGTGTATAGAAAGATAACCCATACAGATCAGTACTTGCAATTCACCTCTCATCACCCTCTCCATCAAAAAGTCGGATTCATAAAGTCTTTGCTAGATAGAAAGAATATATTGTGTCGGAGGATGTAGATAAAGCACAGTAACAGGGAAACATACGCATGGCACTCACCAATTGTGGTTACCCTCCCTTGTCCATCAAAAAAGCCTTCCAGGAGAAAGCATCTCCGAAGAATAAGCGATTGTATCAATTATCACAAATTTTTGCATTTTACAATACTACATTGACTTTTGACGTTCCATAGATCATTTCATTTATTTCGTCTTTGGAACACAACTAAGACAGATACATAAAAATGAACTATTAAGGGGTAGACACCCATGGTCAAAAACTTGAATTAAATCAACTATCTAGTGATTCTCTAAACCACTAAACGATAACATTTAAAAGTAGATAAAAAATATACAAATAAATCAAAAGAACAGAAAATATATACATGATTTTTTATAATTTTTAATATTATAAGCTCAACTCATCACGCCGACTACCGCGATTTTATCGAGCTTTAAAAGCAGTAGGAAAAGATGGGTTGCCAGTTTGCTAGGTTTGCGGTGAAACGGCACTAAAAATAAGTGAGTAACATCTTACTTTGTTTTTTGAAGTTCTTTTTTTTTTTTGTTGAGAATCAACTTAATTAAAAACATAAAAGTTCTGTCCATCTAAAGCCTACCTTTGTGTAAATGATACTTACAATTTTAGTCTTTGGCTTGCATTCAAATATTAATTATTATAGTTAAATCGTTGCTTATTAGTCTAAATAATGATAATAATAATAACATAATTATTGCTTACCTGGTGTGTCACAGTATATTCCTAACCAACCAAAAACGCAAGTGCATCTGTATTCTTTAGAATAGTTTGGGTCAGGCGTACAGGTGGCGCCATTTTCACATTTATCTTCGAGGCAGGGATCGACTACTCTTATTGCCGTTGAGCTACTATCATTGTAATATGATGTAGGCTTAGAGCTACTATTGGGGACACTTTCTTGTGAATCATAATCTGTTTCATACACAGAAGCTTCTTGTATTTCCCATGAAAAATACGATGATGATGACTGAAATGACTGCTGGTGATCAGGTGTTCCTTCGATGCTTCCACTGGTAGGAGGCCCTCCATAAAGCGACCAATCAAAATCATGTTTTAAAGAACTTCCTACGGTAGCTAGAATAATAATAATAATAATAATAATAATAATAATAATAATAATAATAATAATAATATTAATAATAATAATAATAATAATGTGTTAAACTTATAGATACAACAGATATACAGAAACTTTTGTTGATTAGCAATGCTTGATACAATTATTACATTTTCCTTTTCGAGCACTGTTATTATTATATATCTATTTGTTTATATAGTAGGCCTATATATATGATATATATAGGCCTATATACATACATACATACATACATACATATATATATATATATATATATATATATATATGTGTGTGTGTGTGTGTGTGTGTGTGTAATTAATTAGCTTTTAGTTGAAAATATGAGATTACCAGAAATAAACAATACCGTCTTTTTCAATTTCTTTAAAGTTAATATGTTTATATCCTGCTGTTTAAAAAAATTGCATCCTATGTTCATCCGAAATTCCAAAATTAACATCATGCTATGTGAGTAAATATTGCTGAACAGATTTTTATGACCATCATTTATGCCTACTACAAAATATATCAAAATGTAGTAAAACAGTATTTTAATATACGAATTACATCTTAATATGCGAATTATTTTATTCTAGATGATATACTATACTGTATGTTAGCACGATAGTCGTCAGGTTGGTAACTGACCTACCGTCACTAGTAGGGGCCTAGGCCTATGACATCATTGGCGTGTGGCACAGCACATATCGCGGCCCTGGGAACCGAGCAGAAACTTTTAGCCTAGGTCTAGCTGTTTATATTTGGTCGTCTTTGTTGTGTCGGCTGTATCTGGATTTGAATTTTGCAAAGCAATGTAAATTTAAAAAAAAAGTCAAACTAACCTGTAGTAGAGTTCTGGGAGGTGGCGCCAATGATGAATTTAACTAAAGCTAACCCCAAAGAAATGCAGAACATAGTTAACGTCTAAATAAGCTAAAAGTTGAGAACATTCGACACTGTGAGTTTGTATACTCACCTGCAGTGTGCAAAGACCAGCCAGCAATCCAATAAACACGGATCAAAAGAGCTGAAGAAAAGACGGTTTTGTTACAAGAGAACAAAAGGTTCTTGCTAAAGATGATATGAGCGTTCCGAGATCTTCGTTCGTCTCATGTACTCCAATGAGGATGTCACTCACCGGGGAAGCATTATTTGTGAAGGGAAATTGAATATCGATGTCTAAATTGTCGATATTAATGTTTTGTTATTAATACTATTATATTATATTATATTATAATTATTATTATTATTATTATTATTATTATTATTATTATTATTATCATAAATAAGTAAACAAAGTGTATACAGTTCATATCATCCATTTCATATACTGTATATCCATGTATATACTTTAACTACTAGATACAGGCTAATATCATGGCTATGGCTGTGTAAATCTTCTGTTTATCTTTTGTTTATCATTTGATTTTTGTTTGAGCGCTAGACCTATTAATGGATTAATCTGATGTTATATTAATTCAGTGGGCACAACGATGAAGAAAAGAGCAGCCAACAAACTGATCGTACATGATCTGTTGCATGGTGTATCAACCGCACATTGTCATTAGCAGCTAAAAGTAATCATATTACATGCGGCATTAAACTGATCGTTTATTTCAATAGTTTTCCTTTTGTGTTCATTTTACATTGTAACACACAGTTGATTACACAAACACTCAGATAAACTTAACAGCTGCAGTTAATTAAGAAAATATCAATCAATTTGTTTTAAGACAGCACATATGTGAAATTATATTTACTTATGTACACCTAACACACAATATGTCTTTACACGTAATACATATTGATCGCTCCTCCTCTCTCGTTTCTCTATTTCTATCCGTCTGCCGCCCCCCCCCCCCCCCTCTCCCTTGTAGGCCTATATAGTCAGAGTATATTAAAGTGTTGTTTGACAATTGTAACACTGTGTTCTATTCTTGGGCTGCTAACTAAAAAATAAATTTTCATTGGTTGTGTTGTGCTGTTGCGATTGTATCAATTATCACAGATTTTTTGTATTTTACAATACTGCATTGACTTTTGACGTTCCATAGATCATTTCTTTTTTCGTCTTTGGAACACAACCAAGAAAGATACATAAAAGTGAACTATTAAGTGGTAGACTCCATGATCAAAAACTTGAATTAAATCAACTATTAAGTGATTTTATAAACCACTTAAAGATAACATTTAAAAGTAGGTAAAAAATATACGAATAAATCAAAAGAACAGAAAGTATGTACATTAGTTAAAAAGCACATGCGAGAGACAATTACAAACTTTATGTCAACATTCAGCAAGCTGTGTTTAAGTGAAAAAAATGAAATATAAATGGGAAAGAACAATACAAGAGAATCTTCAATATTATAAGGTGTTCGTTGAAAAGCATTAAAAATATGATAATGGGCAGCGTTAGTTCTGTAATTAAGGTGATCAGTGTGGCACAAATTCTGAGAGATACATTCAATAATATATGTTTATTTTCTTATATAAAGCCTTAGCAATGAATATAATCCCTAAAAACTTAAATCTATTGAAAAGGCCAAAAAGATTCAGACGTTGAAGTCGGGTTTCATATAATAGGCCTATGGATAAAATATAAAAATTAAAATTATCTTTGGGGAACACACGATCTAGGGACCCCACACATCACGAAGGTACTCCATATTTCAATATTGGGCGAACTAGAGATACATAAAATTTAATAATTAATTTTGGATTAGACATCCAATCGTTCATATGATAAAACCTGAAGATCATTTCCAATTCTACTAACATGCAGGCCCCAATCTGACCCAGAAAATAATTATTTTTACGTCTAGTAATTCACATTTTTCTTTTTTTACTTTACTCCAATCAAGGATAAAATCGAATAATTTTGAAGCACAGAAATATCATTAGCATATTTAATTGTACTGTAAAGTAGGGTATCGTCTGCATACATTTTAACACAAGAGGATAATGAAGCGACGAGGTCGATTACAATATCATATTATAAGAGTATTTTCCCAAAACCGAGCCCTGTGGCACTCCAGATAGCACAGGACACGCAGGGGAAGAGCCCGACCCCCTGAACACAACCTTCTGCGTACGATCCAACAAAAAGGATGAAACCCATTGTAGCGTGGAGCCACTTACACCATGGCCACGAAGTTTTCTGTGAATTGGGTGAGAGACCCGGTCAAACGCTTTATGATTCAGTCACGGATTATAGCGTCGACTCGTGGAGGGCGCGTATATCGAGTGTAGTACTCTAATCACAATTTCCCATAAAACTGTGGTGCAAGAACGACCATTTACAAATCCATGTTGATTGGATAACCCAAGACCATTGGTTGCATAAATAATGTAATACGTGAGTGTATTATATTCTCAAGAGGTTTTCCGACAGTTGAGCATTAAGAAATTGGCCTAAAATTATCTATGCAAATTATCTATCACTTGATTTAGAAACTGAACCACATTTGCATTTTGGAAGCCTTCCACGATAGAGAGAGGTCCAACAGTTTTGCCAGGGGCTCATTAATGTTGGCTGCAGTAGGCCCTATAAGCTGTTATGCCGTCGGGTCCAGGGGCCTTTCAAAACTTGAGCCCGTTGATAAGCTGTAGTGGAGGTCACCCTACTTAAAGAATACAAAATTATAATTACATTTAATAAAATTCTTCTCATGGGGTTCGGAGCCATGTTCGTTGTTTGAGAAACAAGATATTAAATGCATTCAATACGTTGGGTTCATTTAGAACGGAAACATTTATCCGACAAGCAGAAGGCTTATTTTATTTTTATCTGACGTGTGCCCAGTAACGCTCCCTACTCAGTAATAGTTCCGTTAGGAGTAAAGTAACGTCCCTGCCCGGCCCAGGATGTATAGTTGATTTAGGTTGGGGTATGCGGGTCATAAGGACCTTAGTGGAGTAACCTCCCTACCGAAGTTAGGTGGGGTATGTGGGTAATCATGTGACGTCTCTACCATTTAATGTACAGTTACCTTAGTACTATAAATTCTTCACTTGTTTTTTTGTCATGTATTTATGTTGTGTGGCCCATTGATGGCACATGCAGCACAACAAACAAATATTGAATTGATATTATAACGTGGGTGTGATTTTTGAAGTTCATCTTCTCATCGAGAAGAAGCCCCCGACTTTAGTTTGCACAAAAGTAAACTTAAAATGAAGCCTATGTCGAATAGAAGCCTATTTTTGTTTTGACTTAAATGATTTTTCAATGAATTCTTCTTCTGCATGTTTTTGTGATATTTCTATAATATTGAAAACAATAAAAACGCTATACATTCTTTAATTAATTACACACTGAACATAATAATATTTTACGATGTATTAATCGAGAACAGTTTATAAAAATGTCATTAATAAGCTGAATTTAAAGAACAAATTTCAATTGACTTTGTTGTGTATATGATTGAATAAATTAACACTTTGCAATATGTTTAGATTTAGCATTTTACAGTACTGCACTGGTTTGGCATTCCGCAGTTGGGTGGTAAAACGCTCAGACCTGGTCATTCATCGCTCTGTAACACATGAAACTTAACTGTAAAGAAAATACAATATTTGGTTATTGATGAGGATTACTAATAGATACTGAAATACATATAGGCCTAAATATTGCGATGCCTGATGATAAGTGATTATTGTTTTTGATAACACCTTTTCCAAGTTTTGAGAACGTCAACTATTGTAAATTACATCATACCTTCGGGTTAAGTATAACTTTGTGGTACTGATCTGGTCTGTAGCCATCTAATATAGAATCATTGTTATCAGGTACTATGAGGTTTACCAAACACGTTGTAGTATCTAATGAACTACATCTCTCACACACAGGACCGCAAATATACTGCTCCTGAAAGTTGTCTGTGTTGAAATCCCGATATATTATCTCCTTAACAAAAGTTATCATTTCTCGTAGAACACGTATAACTTGAGTTGGGTCTTCATTATTTATAGAAACTTTTATAAAGTCTCTGTCGTGTAAGTTCACGCTTCCAGAGAATACATGTGTGTTGATGAGGAAAAGACATGAATAAGTTGTTCTAAATCGTGCTGCGTTGTAGTAGATTTTATCCCATGTATATACTTCACAGCATTTAGCAATAAGACGCAGAAATATAAATTCTGGAAGATATCCAGGTAGGTCGAAATAAAAAACATCTTGCATATCATCATTGATGTTCCAGAGGTTTGAGATCAAATTAATCTTTGGTAGCCTACACGAGAGAAAAAAGGTGCCAACTTGGTCGACTTGATCAGTAACACTGAGCGGAAAAAGTAGGTGTGTTCCTACTAAGAAACGAATTATGTAAGGATAGAGTTTCCAAATTCCCTTTACTTCACAAATGTGCTCGAGTAATCTACTGTCAACAATTCCTGTGTCTTCCAATTTCTGCCAGAGGCTAGCTACTTTTCGATCTCTTTTATGACATTCAGGTACGTTCACTAATATTGTGAGAATGTCTACCAACATTTGAGGGTCGCATATGACGTAATGTCGAAGCAATTCATCACGTTCAATGTAAATGACGTCACCAGACCTATCAAAGTAATTCAAAAATTGAATCAATTCATTCTGTGATATGACATCACCTGTCGATTTTACTTCCTCTAAAATATCTTGTAAACTCGTAATTATGCGTTTTTGTAAGCGAAACTTTTTCAATGACTTATTGAATAGTAAATATTTTATTAAAAATCGTTCATTAAAAAATGTTAATTTTCGTATTTCACTACAGATAACTTCACGTAAGATGTCAAGTTCTTGGTCAGCTTGTAAAGTATTTTCAGTAAAAAAGAAAAGACTTCCGGATGGGTGAAACACAAGAAATTCGGAAAAGCGTTTGTACAGGGAGCTATGTGCAAGTCTTACGAAATTCAAAAGAGCAACCTTGTCGTTAACACTTTTCCGTCTAGTTCCTACAAGTATAACCACAATATTTTCAGCTTCTGCATGCATTGCAACTGATTGCAGCCAGAATTGCAACCGCTTAATTTGCTTTACAGGATTGAGAGCCGCTTCAATAGCGTTGAAAAGAATTAGATATACCCCCTGCTTTGACATGAAGAGATGATGGGTGTTATAGTATATTTCTTGTCCAGCAAAGTCCCATATACTAAATATGGCGTCCAAATACGATTCATTACGCATAGTTGCTTCTATTGATTTTCTGACATGTTCTAAAGGTATTGTTGATGTATTCTTCACTTTTGTGTATGCAAACCACTCATAGAGGATATATGCAGTAATAGGGGCGAGAAAGAGAAATAAATTGAAGAAATATCGTGGAAGAGAGTATTGAATATCGCTTCTTGTTGAGGTTTTTAAATCTGCGAGTTCCCATCCACAAACATGGCCTATGCATATGCCCGCTAAAAAACCAATGCATTTCTTGATAATATATATTTGGGGAATATACCCGTAAACAACAAACTTTTTACCCACTGTGACTCCAAATGTAGTAAAAGATGCGATCACCGCAATGCACAAGGATGAAAGTATTTCTAGATAATACCGCCGTCCGATACAGGCCACGACTGTAACGGACACAATAGTAGTCCCTAATGTAAGAATGCAATTTTTCGGTCTCATTGACATTATTTTACCCTGAACATACATGTGGATTATCGTAGTAGTAACTGCAAACAAGCATATCTTTATTGTAAAATATGCTTTGCTGCAGGTGACAAATAAACTTTCTGTTGCATTTTCGATGTTCTGCTTGGGATGCACCATGAAACAGAATGCAATACAGATGCCAGTCCTACAACCTGTGCCAAGAAGTACACCGGTTAAAAATGCAACTAGACTATACATGGAAATGATTGTAGCTGTAGACATGTCATTCCAAAAGTCAAACTTAAAATCTGTAGTGTACTCGTCTATACTCATTGCACTATCTATGAGTACCGCTGCTACAATATACGCAGAACCAAACCGGTAAGCACCATTAACTTTGATCATAAGCATCAAGGAAGAAATATAAATCCATACAACCAGTCCAAAGCCGAATTTAAACCCACCAAATAGAAACGTAATTAAGATGGGAATAATATATATAATTTTGTAAAACATATTTTGAAATAGATGTCCTACGGACACCTTATAAATTCTAGGTGTGCTTCCTGTTCTCTTGGTTTCAGTTTCTTTTTGTTTTCTCAAATGAGACACTGCCCACCAGGCTGCTGATTTTTCATGTTCATTGTCGTTTAGTGGGGTATGGCGTACCTCATGCCACTTACTGTTAACATCACTAATGTTCGCTTTCGCATACTTTGTTTCGATCCCTATTGTGCTTGGCTCATCTTGTCGAAAATTCATTCCCTGTAAACGCCTGCAAGTTGACGTCTTTCCCGCAGCGTGGTCTCCTAGAATAAGGACCTTGGTTCGGTTAAACGGAAGTGTTCCTCTTTTTTGGGCTTCTTTGTAAGCTTCATGCATCACTGTGTCGTCTGCAAGGGTACATTTGTTTAAACTAGGTCCATACGTCGAGAGGAAAAATTCTCTTAAAACACGTACATACATTTCTTTCATAGATTCCATATTTTATCGGCTGTAAATATATCTGTTAAAAAATAATAAAAGTCATTGATCAAGAAATACATAAAAACAGCCAAATAAATTTCTTCAAATCGGCCCACATAGGCACAGGAACGAATGCACAGGTTCAATTATTCTTCTATTTCAATTCACGACTATCTATGTACAAACCAACAGTACGCTTGATATTAAGTTTAAAGATGTACCAGTATACACATAATTATTACAAAAAGGTTATAAGAAAATTTGCAGCCCTCCAGTAAAAAATAAAAACAGGTTTGGGTGTAAAAAGTATTGATATATATATATACTGTCTCTTATACACATCTAGATGTGTATATTTTAAGAGGGTAAACCTTGAATTTTGAAGAACTTAAAAGTCATTAAAGAGACACATCAGAGCAGTAAACCAGAATGTTCTCCCCTGATATAGGCATACTGCATGCGTTACTACGTATAAACCAATCTTGTCAATTTTGACCCTTAACTATAGTTTCTTTTTCTTTTCATTTTGTGTACTTTCATATAGGATTCTAATCCATACCAACATGCACCCTCTTTCATTTTAAGTCGTAACTTCATTCATGCTAAATCCCATCCAATAGAAACCTCAATATTAAAGAAAGAAAAAAATTTGTTGTTTTGATTACAATTCTGCTGATTTCATATATTAAATGTACAGGTCTTCCTTCAATTAAAGACCACTTTTAGGACTCAGGTTTACATGGCTCTTAGCAGCTTTGGTATGTAATTATAATAATAAAAATAAAAGACAGTTGTTCATTTTGGAACTGTGGATTATCTGGAGCAAAGATCCGTCGCCTTGAGAGGGTCCAAAAGTGCGCATTTCCCATTATTCTGGCACCCTGACCGCAGGTCCTTTGCAGAAAGTTTGCCCAGAAATCAGTTATTAATCACAGGTTTTGTCACTGGTTCCAAACCTCCAATAATCTCATCAACGCGTCTCCGCAATCCCAGAAAATTCGAAACCGTTATTCCTGAACAGAAAGGTTAAAAATAGCCCTACCTTTTCTCACCAAACTTCTTAGTCAAATAAATTAATCTATTCCCAGGTGTCCTTTCTGCGAGTGTTGACTTGTGCTCCGGGGGCGGGTGGTGTTTTGGGCGCGACTGTGCCTGCGGCATGCGGGCGGCTGTGCCCTCGGTCGGTTTGATATTTGTTTAAATTTCTTTTGTTTGTTTTTTAATATATGCTCTGTCTTTTTTTTTATTTTATTTTTTAAATCGGAAATTTTAATGTTTGTGCATATCTAATAATATCTTAATAACCTTAATTAATCACAAATTTTTAAAATAATAATTGTAACTAATTAAAATAATAACAATCTTGACAATAATAATGATATTGATTTATTGTAAATTTAATTAAGGTACACTTTGTAAATTGAATACCCAATTCAGTCACTGGCTGCTAAGGATTTGATATTGTAGTTGTGTTGTTTGTTTTTGTGAATAAAAGATACCGAGATATATATATCATTGTAGGAAAACATGCCAAAAACAATGTTTACGTTTTCGGATAGTGTCCCTTGAGGGGTAGGTTGCAAGTCAACTCGGCCCTTCGCCAACTCGGACCACACTGACTCGGCCACTGCCAACTCGGCACTAACCGACTCGGCCCATGGACCAACTCGGCCCTAGTCAACTCGGCCCTTAACTGTGACTAGGCCTATAGCCAACTCGGCCATTGTCAACTCAGCCCTTAACCGACTCGGCCTTTATCCAACTCGGCCCTTAACTACCGGTAACTTTTGGCCCATAAACCAATTCGGCCCATACACCGACTCGGCCCATATATTCCAGCTCGGCCCTTAACCAACTCGTCTCATTACAGGGGCGTCAGAAGCTATCATTGGTCCGGCTAAATATACATAATCATCATTGCATTAACATGACTTCTTTTCATTAGTTTTGTCTTTGTCTATAGTTCATTATCTACCGTATTCTATTATATCAATCATTCATACTTGTACTAAATATATCATTTAACCATTCATGCATAGTTACCAACATGAGAGATTTGAGATGCGTGAGTGACTATACCAGTTGGCTGGTGGTCCAAGTGGCAGGGGAACCACCCCCACCCCCGCTGCTCCAACATCTGAGCATTTTAAGCTGTGTTAAAACGATTTCAGGGAGTGTTTGTTGATAACACAGGTACATAAGCAAAAATATTATTAATAAAGCCAATTTGAGTTTCAATGTTTAATTGAGCACCCGAAACATATCATTACTGAAATAAGTTAGTGAAATAAGTAGGGCCTTCAAGGAAATACTGTATTCTCTCATGACTCAAGTTACTGTATCACCGTTTTTATAGTTTTAATACAACCAATTTATTTTAATTTTAAATACACTTTCCCCTGATAAGATAGTATAATATACCGTATACTCCAATTATCGAAATGCACGCCATCGTACCGGGGTTCAATATTTCGACATTAATTACCGGTATGCTATCAGGAATGATGAGTATTGGCTAGTGATGGAGTATTCGGTACGTTAACACATCAGGTAGAGTAAATAATCACTCCTATGATATTTCCTGAGGCAAACACACATCTTAATAGCATTTGTAGTAACTTCCATCTGGCTAGATAATCTGGAAGTCGTGTGTTCGATTCCCACACGAACCATTTTCCCTATTTGCTACCGTAGTAATTGGTGAAATCTAATTTGAATATTTGTATACCCTATTTTAAACATTTTAAAAAATAAATCGGACAATATTCATTCATAATAATTATTTTGAATATTGAATAAGAACATTCCATTTCCCTAGGCAAATTCACATCTTAATAGCATTTGTTTTGATTTTCCTTTGGGGTGGGGGGCTTAAACCTATAATAAAACCTACTTGTAAAATAATAAGTGATGTTATAGACTGTTACTATATTTTTAGCAGTTTATATTGCTCGTCAAATAAGTAATTCCTTGCTAAACAAGAAAAGTAAGGGGCTTAAACCTATAATAAAACCTACTTGTAAAATAATAAGTGATGTTATAGACTGTTACTATATATATAAGTAATTCCTTGCTAAACAAGAAAAGTAAGAAGAATAGGAAGAAGATGGAAAGGGAGACGAAGGAGAAGAATAACTTTATGATGAATTTAATTATGTTTGCTGATACTTTCTTTGCTTTATTGCTCAGTCACTATTAAAAAAAAAAAACTCATCAAAATATTTGAAATCCTATTCTGTCGTTTATTAAGGAATGCTTTTGTCAGTATACATTTCGCTTTATTTTTGTTTTATTTTACATAATAAAAGCTTTTAACTACAACCTCCCAACTCTTAGACAGTTCATTGCCTAAAGTCAGAACAAACCCACCCCCTGTAAAGTAATAACGTTTCAGACAGAATTTATGTGACGTATATACCGTATATTCCGGTGTATAAGCCGCACCTGTGTATAAGCCGCCACCCTCCCTAATTAGCGCGAAATATCACTATTTTTGTGTCACCTGTGTATAAGCCGCACCTATTTTTAAGTTCCAAACCGTTCCTATAATGTTAGATTTTTAATTATTTTCAAACATTGACATTATTTACAAAAGTTCACATAAAGAAATTTCATCTTTTTCGGCCAATTATTAAAGAACAAACAACTGGAAATGCGTGTAAACTTCTGGCTACCGCAATGAAACAACGTATTCTTGCACTAGGCAGCTAGCTCTAGGGAAATCCCCATTTCTTGCTAGACGGTCGTGCTATGTAAAATTTTAAAACATCAATTTAGTTTAAGTTAAGTAAAATCTAATAAAATAAAATACTTATTGAGTATATTTATCTATTTTACACAATCATTCTATTATTATGGTGACTAATAACGTTCGGTATTAGGCTAAAAATACTGGTAATTCTAGGCCTACGTTAATTCATTAGGCTACTACTCACAGCCCACTGTGCGAAGCATGCACCATCATCGCGCACCACGTTTTATAAACAAAAATTGCAGAAATATCGCGTGATACAAAGTTTACGCATGCACAGATGACGTATATGCCTTTCTTCAATTAATTTCCATTAAAATAATTATTATCAAGAAAACTCGTGTTTTATAGCATAAATTAATTTCACAAGTTTATATTCTAAAATTATAACGGTATCAATATTCTCTCTATATATAACGATACAAGCCACCGGGAACCAGACGTCGAACAGCAAGTTTCACCAGCCCCCACGTGTGTTTTGTTGCGACATCGAAAATGAAGCTGCTCACGTGAGCTCAAGGACCGAAAACTCCCGAAAAGTAGTTTGTTATTGTTTTGAGCGAAGCGGTTTCGAAGAGAAACAGCTTGTTTCAAAATTGAAAAATTATGAAAATAATTATTTAGACAAACCAAACCATTGCTTGAATGTCGTAGAAAATGTAGTAGGAATCTTAGTACAGCACTGTAGTGAGTATAATTATAAATACTACGCCTTTAAACCGGTCCTACCCTAGGCTAATTATTTGGGCTAGCATGGGCCCAAGCTAGACAGACGGCGGCTGAACTTTTTGGGAGTAGGTTAATGACCGGTGTATAGGCCGCACCCCAAAAAGACCAAAAAACCACTAACATTATTTGAACGACTTGGCCCTAGTACTCCTATAATAATTTTTACTATTTGTATTGTACAATATCATATTTATAATTGTTTTAGGTATAGCCTTGAATGTTGTTTATCGTATTATAGCAGGATCATATTGTAATACAGCTGTAAATTGGTTATTCAAATAAATCATTGGTATAGTTAAAGACGGTGTGTACCACTAACTAAGTCTTGCTGCACGAGAGTCTAAATTTAGTTTCCACCATCATGTAGTAGATTAAAGTATAGTACCGGTAACATATTTAAAAAAAATAGGTCATTGTCACACGTAATTGCGCAATGCAGTGTCTACCATTAAACGTTTACACATTTGTTTAGACCTACCAATGTGTAATAATGCACTGATCATAAACTTACATAAATATAAACTTACCGGAGAATCCGTTAGTTGTCGGTGACTTCATTCATGCCGTATAGGCCTAATGTTTATTACAGGGCTGATCATTTACACCTAAATAGATCATCTTGATAGTTTAAATTAAATACAAAATAAGCACGGTGATTGTGGTTGCTGGTAATTCCCAAATAGGCGCAGTAACACGAAAATACCCATTTCTATAAATGGGATGATTAGCGAGTTTATATAGTGTATTTAATTCTCTTATATCAAACAATTCAACCATGTGTATGTCAGTTCAGTGATATGTAAAAAAGCTCTATTCAAGTCTAAGAATAATTTCCCAGTGTTACACATTTTGAAATAAATTAGGAAATGAAAAAACAAACATCATTGTCCCACACGATCAAATGTTATATGACATAGATGTGATATGCCCGGGTGTAGTAACGTCATCATGCCCCAGAGGGACACAAGCCCATGAGAATTCATCACATTAATTTGTTACACTTTAGTGTGTACAGACCATTTAAGGAAGGCCGCACAACAATCACATGTAGGGGCCTATGTTTATTTAGGTGTACTGATCACTGAAGCTAGTATTAATTTCTGGGTCGTATGAGAATTACTAGATGCAATGGTGGCGGATTTGCCCAACGGGGGTCCGTTAAGCCCGACGTGGGTTGGCACCAATATTCCAGACATTGAGCCAAAGGCCGTTCAGAACCCTTCAAAATAGTCCAGGGAGCAAATCCTCCGACAATTAAGGACTTGAAAGGTTATTTCATCGATAGTTTCATAAAGTGAAAAACTACATCGATTTTCTATCCGACAACTGGGGCGGATGCACGATTTGGCGGTAGGGGGTGCGTGAGGGTCCACCTCACTGCCCCCACCATGGTTGGGGCTGAGAGAATAGAACATTTTGAGAATAGGGACCTCTCAGGCGCGGATCCAGAGTTTTAGCTGGGCTTCTATAGAATCGCTCACCCTATCGGCGACAGTCGTGCCAGTTGTGGTTCACAGACGAATCAGGATGCCTTTCCGATTGCTCAGGGGAGCTAGAAACACCCTGATTCGTCTGCGTCTGCAACGCAATCGGAAAAGTTGAACCAGGTTCAACTTCTCGACTATCGCCGATAGGGTGAGCGATTATATGGAAACCGAGCTTTACCCTGACTATCGCACATAATGGGGTCCCTCAGTGGGCGGGGTCATGGGAAGAGAACGTAATGTTTGCAGGCCTTTTGATATGAGTGTCAACCGAGGCCCGTATCCCGAGTTCGTCGTCACATTTTCAATGCACACAATCGGATAACAGTAATTATCTATAATTTATATAATCAATACATTCTCGACTGCCATGAAATTTTTCATATATCTAAAAAATTAGGTTATATGTATGCTCGGAAGTGGAAAGTTTAACCTAAATGTTTGATATACGTTTCATGTTGTTTGTTGAATGGTCTTTAATGATATTATATTCTAATATGACCAGAAAAATAAGGAAGAACACTTTGTCACCTTCAAAGTTCAGACCCATATACATTTATATTTCCTTAGGCCTAAATCATAAGGAGGTCCGCTCTATATCCAAATTTCAGGAAATTATACGTTTTATGCATTTCCCGACGTGGAAATTTTGTTTTATGTTGTTTGTTGAATGGTCTTCTTTAAAAATATTAGTCTAATATGACCACAACATAAAGAAGTTCATTCTTTAAATGTTTAATAGGCCTAGATAGTACAGAGAATGCATGCGCCGACGTGGAAGGATTAACCTAATAATCTTGTTAATAATGCGGTTCTAAAATTAGTCTTATGACCATAACTTTTAAGTTGTAACTTCAGGAAAAATAATAAATTTTATTGTACCGCCACCAGCTGGGAAAGTAATTAAAATATGCATAAATGTCTTCTGTGATTGGTTGATTGTCAACATTTCAATGCTTAGTGGATGGACGGTCGGATATAATGCGTAACTCTCATAATAATTTCATATTTCGAAAAATTGTTTGGAGTATATATGATCACGTTCCATATAGATTACATCCACAGGGTGCCCCTAAGCCAAAATTTTAAAATTGAATAAATTGCGTTTTTCCGAATCACGACAGACTGAGTAGATTAGGCCTACTGGTTAAAATGTAAACATTTTATTTTTTTTTATTTTTAAATCACAGATAATCACAAATTTATATTTAGTACATTCTCGACTGTCTTGGAAATGTGGACCTTATCAAATTTGGTTGGGTGCGTTATACACACTCTTCGTAAAACCCCACCTACGGTACTTCATATACGGGTCTGGAAACTTTACATTTTACCTGCCAATTAATACAGTATTATACACTTATTAGATATCTTCTCAATTTCTCAGTGTTTTTTTTTTTTCTTTCTTTTTTATTATTTTTCCACTTCCAACACTGTATAATTTGAAATTTACATACCATTCACGTCGTTGCTCTTCTTCAGAATCTGTGTTCATTTTCAGTCTCTCAGTGTTCGGTGGTCATTTTTGACTTTCTTTTTAGATGTACCGTACTGTATCTAAGTGTGTTCGAAAGTTTTAAGCTCAGGTCTACAATTAGGCTACCAAATCCATTAAAAACTTGTTTTCTTTATTTTTTTTAATATATTTAATTTTTTTAACGAACAGCATTCGTTAAAATAATGAAATAATAATTCATTAATCAAAAATTACCGGTAATAATTAAAATAATATGTTTTCGCTTTGGTGTAATTTTGGAATAACAAAATATAAAAAAATTATATAGGCCTATGCCTTTCAATAAGGTTATATGAATCAACGCACATGCATAGCCTATCCTCCGGCCCTGTGATTGATTTTGTATTAACCATATAGTACATTGTGACATAAATCATAATAATAATAATAATAATAATAAAAGAACTCAACAGTGTACCGTACGTTATCGCGCAGCCGATTTAATTACAGCCCCTCTTTGATTAATACTTAAACAAAGCAAAAAGTTTATTTCGTCTATATATATTTTAATAAATTATATTTACTGTCAGTCTGCAAATACAAAGTAAGAAATAGTTGTTAAATTAAAGTTTATTAAAATTCCACTGTGTAAGCTAAGGCTTCGCTCTATGCTGGCATCATATAAAATAGGCCTATATAAATAAATATAGGCCTATATCGTACGTTCCCTTTTAATGTTAAATTTACCTTTCAATGGTAACAGCCAATCGTAGGCCTATACACAAAACCCCCCGAAATTTCAAATTATTTAAAAGGTTTAATAATCATGCTAATTAAATTCAGATTGTGTTGTTTGATACACCTTTTCATGTCTAAGTTTTTAGACTCACGTACGCAGTGATCGATGATACTGTATCCTCATTAGCACTTGGCTAGTCTTCGTTTTGTGTACATATTGTAAAACGTTCTAAAAGAAGACGAAATAATTGTTTGGCGATAATGGGCACACACAAGTGACTGGAAGCGCAGTGCTGCTAAAAGTTGTAACACCGCGCAGGATAACCCCAGAATTGTAACAGGGTGATATATGTATAGTTGGCGACAAAAAAAAAAAAAAAAAAAAAAAAAAAAAAAACCCCAAAAATGGGAAATATACTAACCATTTCCTATTCCGACGACCAAAGGACCCTGGTGCCAATGCACCAAACAAGTCTTGTATTAACTTTCACGATGAAATAAATAACACGGATATGATTCAACATTATTTCTGCACTGTTGTTAATGAAAAATAATGAACCAGCCTCCATCCACCTACCTTTGTTCACGAATCTTTCTCTTGGAATCTTTCTTTTTTTTTCGATTAAAATGTTAAACTATATAAATATTAGATGAGTCACTGTCAATAAAACTATTCGCGGAAGATGAGTATTCAAAATATCGTGACTAATAGAGACTAATCAGAAGGCAACGACGTTTTCCGCATTGACAATTAATTTTACGTTGATTATTTATGTACAATTCTTATTTATTTAAATGCACACATTTACATCTGCTAAAAAGTTACCAACAACGATGGAGTGACTCTGTACACATCTAAATAGCTGTGGGGAAAAAATATCAACCTGCTGCTTTTTGTTTGAATAGTGATCGTATATCAGAACGATAACATGCAGCAACATACTTGGTCAACTTATGAAAATTCAGAACTTTTGTTGATTGCCCATAGATCAAACTTGGGAGCGTAATGAAACAACTATAATATTGAAAACCAACAAATTAATACAAAATCGGTGTACGAATTTCAGTGGTCAGTTGTTATCGAATTTTATTATATGTTGACATGCATTTGTGAGTAGTGTGTAATAGACATGCAAAAACAGTTAGCTTTAATAATATCGTTTTTGACTGATTAATAATGTATTCACATGTCATCTTATCTTACAAACATTCAGAAGCTTTCGGATTACAAAGAGAAAAGGATATCACGTTTTATTTAAGAACAATGATTTCCCGCGGACGCACATACACAATACACCTTGTCACCTAGTATTAAAATATTGTTTTATCATGTTGCGTTTGAATACCAGAGGATTAGGATCCTATATGGAAATACACTAAATAATAAATCCCCGTGGTAAATAGTCAAAATTGACAAGATTGTATTTATATGAAGTACAGTAAATACATGCGCTACACTGAGTCATGTTTTTCTATATAGTATTGGTCCCCATTATTTATGCGTTATCCTGGTTTCGTATGTTTTAATGTTCAATAGGCCTATTTTTTTAATGTAATTCTTATCTCTTTAGTAAGCCTGTATATTGGAAACCGAATGAAATCAAATCAAATACAAATTAGGCTCAGATTTCAGATTTTATATTACTCAATGACGTACCGGTACCATGTTTTGACTCAAATGATTTTTCAAGAGATTATTCTGCTTGTTTCTGTGATATTTCTATAATATTGACAAACAATAAATATGCTAAACATTCTTTTATTAAATACAAACTGAACATGATAATATTTTACAATGTATTAATGGTGAAAAGCTTTTTTTGGCGACAGTACTTACGTTCAGACTGACGTTATCTTTGAACACCGTATTATGATAGCATATCAGTATCAATGTTATCTTATTGTACTGGCATGGCAGGGGTGGCGCCAGCAGGGGGAGGGGCGGGCCCCATCGGGGAGAGCTGCCTTCCCCACCCCACCCCCCCCCCTTCGTCGGGAAGAAAAAGCACAATTCGTCGGGGAGAACAAAATTTATATGTATTTTCTACATATTAGTAGATTCTAAAATCGATTAAGTAAGCCTTTGAAACCCCTAAATTGTCAACACTTTTTGGGGCTTTTCCCCCTGGACCACTTTCGAAACCTTTTAATCGAACCTCGACCACGCCCACTTTGCTTTCGTCGGGGAAATCTGACCCCTCGTCGAGGGCTTCGGTCCCCTCCCGTCGGGGACCTCGGCCCTCTCCCGTCGGGCAAATCCTGGCGCCACCCCTGTGGAATGGTTAAAATTAAAAATATTAAACAGAATTTCTGATGCCACAGTTAAAATATGTCGAATAGAAGCAATTCCAACACCTACAGCATTCAAAGGACCTTCATGAAAAGAAGCTCATTCAAGGGTCCTAAAAAGAACCCGGGGCTTCTCGGTATATTTATATATTTATTTATTTATTTTAAACATACTTAGGCAGGATAACATATGCAGACGAGATATTAACGCTGTTTTACAATATGGTCATACTTTACAATAAAAAACAAACATGTCAAATACAAATAGTAAAAAGTTTGGTAAAAAACTATGCCCAGCCGGACACCAACCGGTATTTCTGTGTCTAGGCTCCGGGACCGGGAATTATAAGGTTATGCTTATCGACATCACTTAAATAATTATAGTAAAAAACTATCCCCGCCGGGCATCATCACGGTATTTCTGAGTCAAGGTTGCGGGACTGGAATTTTTTTAACCGTGTATATGATCGATGTTAAATTGATATTCAGAGAAAGTGCTTCTTACAATAAGTTTTGAATAATTCAAGAGGCTGACATTCTTGAATTCCTATTGGGATTTTGTTCAAACTTTTGCTCAAGCGATTTTGAAGAGCCATTCATTACCACCTACAGAGCAGTTTAAAATGGACCTTTCCGCTAAGCCCCGCCCCTTGGATATTGTTGCTAAGGTCCCACAAGGCGACAGTGTTAAAACATACGCAAACACGTGCGTTTGTGGGACAACACGTGTGTTTGTGAGACGCGCGCGTATTCCTAGCGCTGTTCTGATTAGTCAGTTGTTAAGTTTGATTGACACTCCGGAAAGGTCTATTGGGGGGTGGGACGGGTAATGTTAAATGAATGGGCGTATCTAGTGGAATATCCATGTCGGTCAACAACCATTTCAACATTATTACATAAGCGGAAATTCCAATTTATACATGTTATACATTAAACATGCTATTCTTTACGTTTAGATTTGGCATTTAACAGTACTAGGCCTACACTGATTTTGTGGCGTTCCACAGTTGGGCGGTAAAACGCTCAGACCTGGTCATTCATCGTCCTGTAACACATGAAACTAAACTGTAAAAAAAATAAAATAAAATATTAGGTTGTTGATAAGTATTACCAACACATACTGAAATACATTACAATGCTATGCTTGGTAATAATTGATTATTGTTTCTTATAGCACAATTTAAAATTATTGAGAACGTCAACTATTGTAGATAATATCATACCTTCGGGTTAAGTGTAACTTGGTGGTACTGGTCTGGTCTGTAGCCATCTAATATAGAGACATTGTTATCAGGTACTATGAGGTTTACCAAACACTTTGTATTATCTAATAAACTACATGTCTCACACACAGGACCACAAATGTATTGCTCCTTAAAATCTGTGTTGAAATTCCGATTGATTATCTCTTTAATAAAAGTAAGCATTTCTTGTAGAACACGCATAACTAGAGTTGGGTCTTCATTATGTACAGAAACCTTGATAAAGTTTCTGTCATGTAAATTCACGCCTCCAGAGAATACATGTGTATTGATGAGGAAAAGACATGAATTAGTTATTCTAAATCGTGCTGCGTTGTAGTAAATCTTATCCCACGTAAACATTTCACAGCATTTAGCAATAAGGCGCAAAAATATAAATTCTGGAAGATATCCTCCTAAGTCAAAATAAAAAACATCTTGCATATTATCATTTATGTTCCAGATGGTTGAGATCAAATTTATCTTCGGCAGTCCACACGAGAGAAAAAATGTGCCAACTTGGTCGACTTCATCATTAACACTGAGCGGAAAAAGTAGGTGTGTTCCCACTAAGAAACGAATTATGTAAGGATAGTGTTTCCAAATTCCCTTCACTCTGCAGATGTGCTCCAGTAACCTACTGTTAACAATTCCAGTGTCTTCCAATATCTGCCAGAAGTCAGTTACTGTACGATCTCTTTTCTGAACATCAGGTACGTTCACTAATATTGTGAGAATGTCCACCAGCACTTGAGGGTCGCATATGACGTAATTTCGAAGCAATTCATCGCGTCCATTGTAAATTACGTCACCAGACCTATCAAAGTAATTCAAAAATTGAATCAATTCATTCTGTGATATGACATCACATGTCGATTTGACTTCCTCTGAAATATCTTGTAAACTCGTAATTATGCGTTTTTGTAAGCGAAATTTGTTCAATGACTTATTGAACAGTAAGTATTTAATTAAAAACCTTTTATGAAAAAATTTCAATTTTTGTAACTCATTATAGATAACTTCACGTAAGATGTCCAGTTCTTTGTCTACTTGTAAAGTATTTTCAATAAAAAAGAAAAGACTTCCAGATGGGTGAAACGCAAGAAATTTTGAAAATAGTTTGTACAGGTGATTATGTGCAAGTCTTACGAATCTTAAAAGAGCAGTTTTGTCGTGAACACTTTCCCGTCTTGTTCCTACAAGTAGAACCACAACATTTTCAGCTTCTGCATGCATTGCAACTGATTGCAGCCAGAATTTCAGCCGTTTAAGTTGTTTTTCGGAATTAAGAGCAGCTTCAATGGCGTTAAAAAGAATTAGATATACCCCCTGCTTTGGCATGAAGAGATGATGGGTGTTATAGTATATTTCTTGCCCAGCAAAGTCCCATATACTAAATTTGGCGTCCAAATAAGATTCATCACGCATGCTTGCTTCTAAAGAATTCCTGACATGCTTTATCGGTATGGTTGTTGTATTTTTCACTTGTTTGTATGCAACAAATTCATAGACGACGTATGCAGTAACAGGGGCTACAAAGAGAAATAAATTGAAGAAATATCGTGGAATGGCGAATTGGACTTGGCTTCCCGTTGAGATTTCTAAATCTGGAAGTTCCCACCCACAAAAATGGCCTATACATATTCCTGCAATAAAACCAATACAATTCTTCATAATATATATAGGAGGAATATACCCATAAACAAGAAACTCTTTACCCAATGTGACTCCAACCGTAGTAAAAAACGGAATTACCGAAAAGCACAAAGATGAAAGTATTCCTAGACAATACCGCCGTCCGATACAGGCCACGGCTGCAATGAACACATTGGTGCTAATTAACGCAAGAATGTAATTGTTTCGTCTCATTGAAATTATCTTAGCCTGAACATACCTACGAATTATCATAATAGTGCCTACAACGATGCAAATTTTTAGGGTAAAACATTCTTTGCTGTAGGTGAGTAATAAACTTTCTGTAGCATTTTCGATGGTAAATATTTTCTGTTTGGGATGCACCATGATACACAAAGCAACGCACACTCCAGTTCTACAACCTGTACCAAGAAGTATACCATTTAAAAATGCAACTACACTATACATGAAAATTATTGCTGCGGTAGACATGTCATTCCAAAAATCCAACTTAAAATCATTAAATTCCGTACTGCATTCATTTATACTCATTGCACTATCTATGAGCACCGCCCCTACCATGTACGAAGATCCAATCCGGTAAGCCCAATGGACATTGATTATAAGCATTAAGCAAGAAATATAAATCCATACAATCACTCCAAATCCGAATGTAAACCCACCAAATAGAGTATAAAGTATAAAGATGGGAATAATGAGAAAGAATTCGTGGAACATATTTTGAAATAGATGTCCTACGGACACCTTGTTTATTCTAGGTGTGTTTCCTGTTCTCTTGGTTTCAGTTTCTTTTTGTTTTTTCAAATGAGACACTGCCCACCAGGCTGCTGATTGTTCATGCTCATTGTCATTCAGTGGGGTATGTGATAGGCCTACCTCATGCCACTTACTGTTAACATCACTAATGTTCGCTTTCGCATACTTTGTTTCGATCCCTATTGTACTTGGCTCATCTTGTCGAAAACTCTTTCCCTGTAAACGCCTGCAAGTTGACGTCTTTCCCGCAGCGTGGTCTCCTAGAATAAGGACCTTGGTTCGGTTAAAAGGAAGTGTTCCTCTTTCTTGGGCTTCTTTGTAAGCTTCATGCATCACTGTGTCGCCTGCAATAGCACGCTTGTTTAAACACGGTCCATACGCCGAGTGGAAAAAATCTCTTAAAAAACGTACATACATTCTGCCATAGAGTCCTTATTTATCGATGGTAAATATCTCTGTTAAAATAATAAAAAACATTAATCGAGAAATACATACAGAAAATCAAATAAATGTATTTGAATCGGTTGCACATAGGCACAGGTACAGGAACACATGCAGAGATTCTTATTTTGCTCTCTGAATTAACGTAATTTACGACCATCTATGTACAAATCAACAGTACGTTTGATGTTAATAGATTTTGAAGATGTATATAACAATTATTACCAAAGGAATCAAAATTTACATGAAACAAATTAAATACAGGTTTATTTTCTGAATTTAAATTCTGTATAATAGTACACTGGTATGATGATGGCGATAATAGACGTTTAATTACTACCATGTTATATAAATGGTATCTATATTTCGAAAATACCAAACATATAAAATCATTCAATGACAGCCAAAAGCCAAGCGATTTGGTGACATATTTTCTTTTCATGCAATTTTATTGCATTTTACTTCAAAGTATTTTGGTTAGTGAATTAAATAGGAATTGAAGTGAGAGGGGGTAATTTGTAGGGGCCTTACAATACCTTCCCTTCCCAACCTGATATAAGGTAGGATTTAGGTTTTTTGTGATGTACATTGATAGCACATTGTTTGGAAAAAGTTGGTGAATGTGCTCCATGAAGTTTCTGTATACAGTGATAAACAATTTTATTTGCCAATGCATTAAGATAGAAACGTGACTAAGGGGTGGGGTACTTTGTATGAAATTACATCACCTTTCCAACCAAATATCATGTAAGATTTAGGTTTTTTTATGATGTACACTCACAGTACTTTGTTCTGACAAAATTTAGTTCATATGCTTGATGGGGTGAAATTGTGACATTGACATTTTTGGGGGAATTTCCAGGGGTCTGGGGATTCACATCCAACCCATGAGGTTCATCTTACATACTTAAATGACTTTTTGACGACCTCACCAACACTAGTGGGGTGAAACCTAGGCAAAAATAGGTGAAGTCTTATGTTACTAGCTTTTAGACTAATAAAGTCACTGATCAACAACAAAAAAAAAAAACAATTTGGCGAGTTTTAAGGGCCGGGATTATACATTTAATATCTGCGGAAAAACAAAATTTTTAATTCTACCAACTTGCAAACTTAAAGGTTAACAACTACTTTACGTGGCTCCAAAGAATTCAATTACTTGCTAACTAATAAACAGAAACAGAGACCTCTCGTCTCTCTTCCTGGACAGATCTCAATGATGAAGACTCCATTGCTGAGAACCTATTAACATTAAGCTTGCTGAAAAACCCCTGAGCCGCAGCTCCCTCTTAATGGGGAGAAGCTTGGATTGGATTTATTCGGTGTAAACACCAAGGATATCCCCGCGAAAGTCTAGAAGAAGACTTAATTCCAGTGGGGTCCTTCTGGTGGTGATTTAGCAGTACACCGGGCCACAATGCACACGGGACCAACGTCTTATCCGAAAGACGGTGCGCTATTGTAACTTGTATTTCAGCCCTCTAGCTGAAACACAAGGAGAGTTAGCGATAAGAATTGAACCGGGGACCTAGAGATCCCCACGGTTCAGCCTGCTTACCTACCATCTAAAGAGCTCCCTCAGGTATGGGAGATGTATAATAACTAAATAAACTTTATAGTAGCAAACCTCCAGGTCAGGATGAGCTGCCTACCAAAATAAGGTCGAGTTCGTATGCGAATTTGCACTACCTTATAACCAACATTTTCAATTCTTCCTTACGCGAATTTATAAATTGAGACCAATCTCACTAACAGCCCTTTTTGCTAAAGTTTGCAAGATTTAATTACTGAATGGGATATTAACGATATCTCTCATATGATTAACCGCAATCAGTATGGTAGGTTGTAAAAGCTCCTTCACTAATCATTGTCTTATTGAACTCCTAGATATTCTGTACCAAGACTTTAGACAACCATAATGTATTGGTAAGCTTACTGTAACAGATTGCATTAACCATACATTGATTAAATTACCTATCACTGATTTACTCAGGCACATTCGTCAGTATTACAACATAGTGCTCCAGTCTGGCACGGTGGTATACTGTAAATAAATTCCAGTCATAACAAGTTAGAGTGGGTACAAACGCGTGCTCTACGATTTATCATAGGGTATGACTACACAACCCATGTTAAAGTGTTGTCAATTAATAAAATAGTGTCCCTTGAGAAGAGATTGTAAAAAACAATTGCTATCAACTGCTCCAAATTGGTTAGATATGGCCGCTGCTTTAAGCTCAAGGATTTTTGTGGGCTTATCAACATTTTGTTTAAGATTATGAGTCCTATGAATTGATTCAACATCTGTCCTGTTGTTAAAGATTTCCTGTCTGCAAATTTTATTTTTTTAATACATTACTCTTATTTTATAAACCAGGTCACTAGTTCTCGTTATAAATATGTTTTTTTACTATTGATGAAAATAAAGAAAGAAAAGTGTATAATACCTGAAGAATGTCTCGATTTGAAGATATTAACTGTTCTAGACGGATCCGTTTATACCTTTAAACGAAAGCACTTTCGGAATAAATAATTTCAACTTTGTAATGTTGAAAGTATTGATTATGCTCTTATATAATTGTAAATGCATTTCTCTGGTATGTGATATTCTGTGGTATACTACTAAAAACTACTTCAATAACGAGCCGTTTTGTGATACAACTCCAAGTTGCAATGAAGACTATATAGATAGGCCCTAAGCTCATATATTGTTCTTTCGTGGTCATGTGTGTTGTGGCCTACTATGGGACTTTTCAGTCCGTTGACAATCAGTAAGTTGAATATAGGCCTATGTATTTCATTTTATATCCCTTTTGTGTACGTAGGCCTACTTGTGAAGCATGAGATTTCCTCACTGGATTTCCTTGCCTCCACATATCGTGATTTCTCATTCAAACAGAGATGCTTAAAAAAATCAACACATACACGAGTGATGCATGATGAGATTTATAGCGGCCCTCTGAAATTTAAAAAAATCGACTTGTTTTTTGCATACATGGTGTCTTTAATGTCGCCAACACTACGACTCCTGCATAATTAGCCTTAATACAATGAAGAAAGAACTGATACTTTGCTAATATATACTATGAACACCAGTAATTACCATATGTATAGGATTAACTGGGTGTGTGATAGCTCCTGTCCATGTGTTAACCACCACCCCTATTCTGAAATGAATCATTTCTTTGTTAATACAGTAGTATTTCTTCCCACTGATATTTTTTCCTACTGACATTATTTCTGATTACTCTCCTGCATCTGGATACTTTATTTTCAAGAGATGTCTGGATATGTTCAATCAGGGTTCCTGAATCCGCCACAGTCTACTAACCAAGTATGCGTGTCATCGACTGTATAATATTGTATAATCAGCTATATAAAATTCAATTGACTAATTCAAATTTAAATACACTTTAGGTTTGGCTATAATTGAAATTAGGCAAAAAAAAAAAGAACACTTTATATGCAGATAATTCTAAACACTATACAGGTACAAGTCTTAATAGTACATAAAAGGAATTGATTATGGTATTAGAAATCGAGCACTAGGCCTAATGGGTTTACACCCTTCCAAAAATTGTAACGCGAAGTTTACATTACATTCAAAATAAATTGAACATCTAATAACCGTTCGCCCCTATAAAATTAATGGAGTGGTAACTGAGATACGACTCAAAAGGTTAAGCATTTTTTACCCGGTTTTGGTTCGAAAATGCGCACCACACAGAAACACCAAATGTGAATAAATTCATGACAGTCATTTGTAATTGTTGTTGTTCTTTCCACTCGGTTTGAAAAGTAGGGTTTTAACTATAGAAGTTTGGTTTGGGGGCAATGGTGGCGCCGTTCCAATATCGAAAGTTTTGTTAGGTTAGGTTAGGTTGTATTCAGATTCAGATTCAGATATTTATTACTTCAAAATGTCAATGCATCATGATAATTGGTTTCCACGGTTCAAAAATACAAATAAGACTTGGAAATAAATACTTGGATATGATGACAGTGTGTTAAATATTGATTCATTGAATTGGGCTAAAAAGAAAGATTGCACATATATGAGTTATGATAATTATACTTGGGCCTATAAAAGCTTAAAAGATATGAATTCAAAAACTTACTTTTATACGTCAAGCCCCAAACATGGCAAAATCACCTTCTAAAGAGTTCGTTAAACAACCTAATTGCATAAACAATTATTATGAACATTCATTTATTAACCTACTTGTATCAGAACTATTTCCAACATCAAAACGATTAAAAAAAGAATTTAGTTCATTCGCAAAGTTTTCCTATTTGTAACTGCATTGTTCCAGTTTTCTTATCGCTACCGATTACTTTCTTTACTCCTTTCCATGCCTGCTTAGGATTACCATTTTCAAAATCATTTTTGATTTTTTCAACAAAATTTCTTTTACCATAACGGATGTGTCGATTGATTTCCTTCTGTAAGCATTTTTTCTTGTGCATATCTGTCTTGGGCTGCTTTTTGCTTTTTACTTACCATGGAGGGTTTACTATCTGGATACAACTTGATTGCCTTTTCTTTTATGATGTTGGATTCACAGAAACGTATATACTCGCTGATGGACTCAGCCGCTGTGTAAATACAGTCGGACTCAAGAAACTTGTCCCAATTAGTGGCTTCGAGACATCCTTATAATTCTTCTATTATCATGTGACCAGACTTTCACTTTGCTAATGATTGGTTTCGATTGTTTCAGCTTCTGTTTGTATTCGGGAATGAGGTGAATCATTTTATGGTCTGATTTAAATTTACCAAGACCCGCTCTAGGTACGGTACTGCTTTGTAAGCGTTTTTAATGTTACCATAACATTTATCTAGGATGTGGTCACCTCTTGTTGCGAAATCAGCATATTGATAATAATGTGGTAATTTTTTTTTTGTGTTGTGAATTTGTGTTTTTATATTATTTTACTGGTTGAACAATTTTAAATTATTGAATCCCAACACGATGGCGTGTATTTCAATACTTGGAGTATGTATTATACTTTCTTATCTGGATACAACTTGATTGCATTTTCTTTTATGATGTTGGATTCACAGAAACGTATATACTCGCTGATGGACTCAGCGGCTGTGTAAATACAGTCGGACTCAAGAAACTTGTCCCAATTAGTGGCTTCGAGACATCCTTATAATTCTTCTATTATCATGTGACCAGACTTTCACTTTGCTAATGATTGGTTTCGATTGTTTCAGCTTCTGTTTGTATTCGGGAATGAGGTGAATCATTTTATGGTCTGATTTAAATTTACCAAGACCCGCTCTAGGTACGGTACTGCTTTGTAAGCGTTTTTAATGTTACCATAACATTTATCTAGGATGTGGTCACCTCTTGTTGCGAAATCAGCATATTGATAATAATGTGGTAATTTTTTTTGTGTTGTGAATTTGTGTTTTTATATTATTTTATTGGTTGAACAATTTTACTAGTGTATTTATTGGAAGCTTCATTTTACAAGCTCTTTCGAGTTTCATGAATGTTCTTTTCATCTTTTATCCTATTTTTAACATTTAATTGTATTTGTAAATTGACATTAATTAGATGATAAATAAAACTGAATTGAATCGAATGTGTTTTGGATTACCACCGACTACATCGCAACCGATCGCAACGGAGCGTAGTCTGAATAGAGTATAGGCCAGAAAAGAGTAGGCCTACACGCATGTGAAGCAGGCATGCAATCAAGCGGGTCGTTATTTTACAAATTCTTTTAGTCCTATACCAATATATTAGTGTAATATCTAATGAACTGATCATAAACTTATATAAATATAACTTACTGGGTAATCCGTTAGTTGTCGGTGATTCTCTAATACGCTATAACGCTTAATACAGGGTTGATCGTTTACAGCTTGATACCATCTTGATAGATTGAAATAAAAAATAAGCTTGGTGCTTGTTTGTAGCTTCCGGTAATTCTTAATGCAATAGCAATAAATTCATTCAAAGGTATTTTTTTCATTCAGATATTACGGATCTTTCATACTTTTTTAAAATTATTTCTAAGCCAACTTTAATAGGGACGCACGGGTTTAACTATTGTTCGAGTTTTTGAATAATACGTCAGGTGATCATACTGAATAAATTTGTTGTGTATATCTCTATTCAGAATACAAAAAAAATAAAAGCACAATGAAGTACCGAGAAGGCAAACCTATTTCCATTGTGGTTCCCAAAAATACGTTTCAGATTACTTCACTGTAAGTAGGTCGATGATTGCTCTATTTATGTCAATACAGAGTACAGTATTACACTTTGTCAAAAACTCATGAAATGCCCAATAGGTCCTAAACGAAGTAAAATGGGCTCAACACAATTCTATATTATTTCGAATATTTTATAGACATTTCTGCTGTAAAACGAACACTTTAAATACTCCGACTAAAACTTTGAACTTTTGTGAGATGGTCAGAAAGGAGGTGAAATGCAGTGTTGGTTTAGATTACAATACTATAAACACATTTTTGAAGGGTCGAATGTGCGAGACAGGCAGGGCATGGAGTAGAGAATTGTCCAGTCTTGAACAAGAAAAAAATAGCTGTCTGAGAAAGGAAGAACGAATAGAATTGATTCTACGGAACATATTTTGCGCATACGCTATTTTCAAGTCTGTGTCAGCCTCAATGGTCAGCTGCTTTGTGTTCGCGCGAGGGATCTAGTGATTTATAAAAAAAATAAATAAAATTAGATTTTGGACGAACTGAAGGATACAATTGATTAAAAAACGGTTTTAAAAAATAATTTTAGATATTATAGTCAAGATTAGTTGGGCATATAGGCCTAATTTAACAAAGGGTCCAGTGAGCATAATGGTCTTTGACATGAACACTTTACATTAGTTGCAGAATCATGAAAGTTTTATTATAATGAAGTAACATTAGAGCATTAATTCAGTCTGTTATCGGTATATCATCACCCAGTCTGTTTTATTTTATCATGAACTTTAAAATATTTTTATTTCAAAGTAAACATAAAAGAATGTGATTTAGTTAGTTTATGCAACTTGTTTATTTTGATTATATATATTTTTTTTATGTTCGACATGAATTAAAAAAAATAACTTGTTTTTAGGCGAGACATGTGTTCGATTAAAAAAATAATAAATTAGAATTTGGGCGAAGTGAGCAGATACAATTAATTGAAAAGCGGCTCTTTTAATAATTTTAGATATTATAGTCAAGCTTAGGCCTAATTCAACAAAGGGTCCAGTGAGCACAATGTTTTTTTTTTTATATGAGTACTTCACATAAGTTGCAAAATTATGCAAGTATAATTGTAATCAAGTAACCTTAGAGCCTTCATTCAGTCTGTTACCGGTATATCTACATCCAGTATGTTTTATTTTATAAAGCTATAGATATATAGATAATATCTTTTGAAATATTTGTTAAGTTATTTCAAAGTAAACATAAAAAAGGTGATTTAGTTATACAACTTGAGTATTTTGTTTTGTATGTATTTTCTTATGTTAGACATGAATTTAAAACGGGAGCATCAATGATGCAATAGCCCACTACACAATGGCAACAAATTTGGGAACAAACATTCAAATAACGCTCAGTTCACATTTGGAACAATCTTCCCCCAGATACAAGCAATTAATTAAAATCTTTAACTTTGCATTCCTTAAAAAAAATGGTATTTAAAACTGTTTCTTTATGCTTCTTGTGTAGAGAGTATACCAATTTTCACTGTTTTTTTAAATATAATTTCTTTAAATATTATTCCATATTCTAAGCATGTTTTTAACTGTTAACTGGACCATTTATGCCATTTGCTTATATCCAGAGTAAAAAAGTTAGATAGGGCCTATGATTCGATATTCGTGGGATGAAATGATTATATTTCGATAGAATGCATTATTAAGAATACTTTTTAAAGAGATAATTCTTGTATTCGAATAGGAACCTTCGTGTTCAAAGGAAAATCTGTTGAGTACTTTTCGTGTTTGGTGGGTTAAAAAAACTCGTAAATTTTCGTTGAGTTTGTACTTAACGTTCAAAATACTTCGTTGAGTCCCGATCGAATACGCTAAGTGATTGATGAATCAAATAATATTTTCATTACTAGGCTACCGCACTTGACATCTCAATATTTATTTGCTAATCATCATCATTGTATATCCCCCGCTCATCAATATAAATCTCCCCCCTCATTCTAACATAGCCATCAGCCCACCACCTCTCACATGCAATGCCATCAATGCTGTATACATAATCTTATGTTCCAAGTGTTATCGTGGTTGCTATGTCGGGGAGAAAGGGAGTAAATACAGACTTAGATTAACAATCATAAGGTATAGATTCGGGACAAAGAATTAGGGTTCCCTGTTGCACAGCATTTTAATCTTCCTACCACTCTGTTAATATAAAATTTGTATTAATTGCTTCAAAGTTCCGTTTAAGGTAGGTTTTAGTAACATAGGCCCTATTAATAATAATAATAATAATAATAATAATAATAATAATAATAATAATAATAATAATAACTATTATAATATTAATATTGATCATTATAATAACTATAATATTGGCAGATTCCTTGTCTTCATTTTTGCCTTGCGTGCTTCTTTTTGTTTGACATGTTCGTCGTATGTTTCAATTTTTTTTTTTTTTTTTTACAAATTTTTGTATGGGCCTTCAGCTGAAACAGTAGCATAGTAGGTGCTACCCAAGGAACTCGATGGTTCTGCACAAAATCGTTAGCTAACGCGAGTACGCTACAGAGCTTTGGATTAGTAATCTGATATAGTAATACGGAATTTCAGTTTCTCCACATAATATGAAACACTAAAAATTGACAAATTCGTAAACTACTGTACCGTATATCAGGTGTCAGTTTCCACTACCTAGCCTAGCTATCCTCTGCCACTGAAATATAGGCGACCAGATAGTACGAACCAACCGACAGTGCAGTGCAAAAACGAAGTATTTGTTATGAGCTCACAAAGCAAATCAAACCGTCTATAATAGCCTTTTTTTAGGTGGTGACCCACTTTCATACGCCCTCTTTTTGGCGACCCAAGACATTATAATTGTCATACCACAATGCTATTCTCATGTTATGTGTTGATTAAGCTGCACTTCCACCGACTCCGACTTCCGGACCGAAAATCCTACCAAACCGATGAGAAGTCGGATTAGTGGGTCAAACTCGTTAGTCATAAGGTTTGCTATATTCATAAGGTTCATTATTCATAAGGTTCGTTATTCATAACATTAGCTTACCCTATACCGTAGGGTCAATATTCATAATGAAGAAAAGGGATCGCTATTCATAAAAAATAAGGACCGCTATTCATAAGGTTCGCTAGTCATAATCAAGAAAAGGGTCACTAGTTATAATTTAATAAAAGGACCACAAGGGATAAGATTTGCTAGTCATAATCAAGAAAAGGGTCCGTTACTCATAATATAAATAAAGGGCATTTTTTTATAAGGTTTGCTAGTCATAATATAAGAAGAGGTTCGCTATTTACAATAATAAAAAAAAAGGAGGTTCGCTATTCATACACTGTTATTTTGAAGGAGTTATTTTAACTCCAAAGGAGTTATTCTGTACCTAAAAAAAGGTACAGAATAACTCCTTTCGAGTTAAAATAACTCCTTCAAAATAACAGTGTAATAAAAAAAAAGAAGGGATTCACTATTTATAATTTTTAAAAAAGGGTGTCGTTATTCATAATTTTAAAAAAAGTAAAAAAAGATTCACTAGTTTGTAAATCAATAAAAAAAAAAAGGTTTTAGTCATAATAAAACAGCAAATTATAGTTTGAAAACACAAATTGCTTACTAGTCATTAAAAAAGAGTGTAACGCTATTTTATAATCCCGCATTTTGTCAATTTCAATTCCAAATAACCCCTCTCCTGTGTACTCCGCCTGGCACAATTTTGTCCATGAAACCACCACCTTTATTATTGTCATTACCTGAGTTCTTTTGTTTTTATCTGTATTCTTTTATATTAAATGTGTCATTAAACAAAATATTCAATTATAAGTATAGGCTATTATTTCGTGAAATGAAAACTGCAGCACTTGCAAGGTCAGGGTCAAATGTCATAGCTATACAGTCGTCATATCTCCGAAACAACTGATGGTACAGAGTTAATTGTGGTACCTATTTGTTCAGAACATTCATGTGTCTATTTGCTCTAATAGAACATTTTGCTATAAAATCACTGAAAATGCTGTTTCTAACCTTCGACACGTTTCAAGGTCATAGCAATAGGGTCGTTATATCTCCGTAACCACTGGTGGTAAAGAGTTAATTGTGGTGTCAATATGTTCGAAACATAATTGTTTCTATTTGGTCAAATAGAAAAGTTTGCTAGAAAATGACCGGAAATTCTGTTTTTGACCTTTGACATGTTTCAAATGTCATAGTTATTGAGTCCTTATTACCTCCACAACCACTGGAGGTAGAGAGTAATTCTGGTGTCAATTAGTTCGGAATACTCATGTTTCTATTTGCTCTAATAGCACATTTTACTAAAATACGACCGGAAAAGCCGTTTCGACTTGTTTGAATGTCATATCCACAGAATCCTCATACCTCCACAACCACTGGTGGTAGAGAGTTATTTTTGGTACCAATTTGTTTGGAACATTCGTGTTTGTATTTAGAATAATACAAAAGTTTACTAAAAAATGACCGGAAATGCTGTTCTGACCTTTGATATGTTTCAATGCTTTGCATATCCCTACACATACTGGCTGTAGAGACTTGATAGTGATCTCAAATTATTCATTTATACAATATTTCTGTTTATTGGATTGAACCATTTTTAAAAACATATATGCCGATACTGATCATTGACCCACGTCACAAGGTTTAATTTCGTTTAATTTTGTCAGTAGATAA